AAAATATGGCAATTAAACATTTTGCCTCCAGGAAAGGGGATGAAAATTGTGAAGGTCTTTGAATCATATAAATGCTTTGTTTTTGTGTCAATTGCATGTACATATAAAGGGTTGGAGATGTTTTTGCTTCTTGATATACGAAATTTCAGGAGGATTGGAAGGTTTGGTTTATTTTAATATGACAAAGCACGCTAGAGCTGTCTGTCTGAAGGAATGTCTGTGCAAAGCTTTGTAAGGGGAACTGATTTGTACACACACATTGTACAGGGGGAAAACCACGAAAATGGTCAAGCAGCCAGCCCGTTTGCTTGGAATCGAACGGAGGTCGAACTGCCAGTGTTCAGTGACTTAACCACTCGGCTATTTGGTCGGCTCTGTCGTGGGACTTGGAAGTAAAATTGCCCATGTCAAGAATCTTGAGCCAATATTGGTAAAAAGATCTGGTCTATGATCTAAACTCGCATGTAGATATAAAATTACTTTAATATTTTCCTGTGTTCGAAAAGTTTTATTTGAGCCCTATATTTATGTAGTTTATAAAATAATTTATTATTTAACACTGATACATTTTTCCTGCTCACGTATCGTATTTGGGGAAAACTGAGAAATGCTGTTTGTAAAATGACAAAATCAAAGCAAATTTCAGAATTGAAAGATGATTGAATACAAATAAATGAAAATTTTACTATAATTACATGAATAATATGTTTCATTTGTATTTATTTTTTTTAAAACAAAGATAATTCAGATGACCCTTTCATAGATTTGACAAGATAACATAGGATTTACTATTTTTCACGATGTAGATGCCATAATGCGAAGACTTACCTAAAAATTTGTTACCGGTGAAGATAAATGAAAAATAAACAAAATTTAAGCAATACTTTATTATGATTTTATACAACCGTCAAACGATTTACGTTTCAGAATTAAATTATGGTTTTTAGATTTTATATGTTTGAGTTCCTGCATTGTTCAGTTTCTAATGCAATAACTTAACAAGTTTCTCCTTAACGTTTTTCCTAATAGCCAAATGTCCAGCAATGGCCGAGCGGTAAAGTCGCTAAACACTGGTAATTCGGTCTAGAGTTCGAATCCCGCGAACGGGCTGAGTGCATGGGCGTTTTTCTAGTTTCCCTGATGTGTAACTTGTGTACGAGCCAGTTTCTCTTAGAAAGTCCTCCACAAAGGTATCTCTTCTCTTAGGCAAATAGTCCTAGCAGTGCTTTGCCATAATCAACTAAGCCAAACGAAACCATTGGCTGAGGGGCGAGAGTCACGACATACTGGTAGCTTATTTGGGTTCTATTCCCGTTAATTGATTAACCGCATGATATTTCGATATTTTTCTTTATGTTTAAACTAAAATACAAATCATATTTCCCTAGAACGTCTTTCACAGACGTATTCTTTCTCAAAGGCAATTATTATTGTATTGAATCACTACAAGCAATTATTATTGTATTGAATCACTACAGGCAATTATTATTGTATTGAAGGAGAGTAAAAACCTCTCCTGCACAATAAGTATACAACCCTGGGTTTACAAAGGTTAGAGTGGCTAATCTTTAGAATATGGTAACAGGTAGTTTTGCGACATTTTGGTAAGGCGATTAAGATTACTAGCTAGGACTACTTTTTAAGTGAAAATAGGTCGATGTGTACATAGATAAAGTCAAGAGTGTGCGCAGTGCTATTTTTGTGCAATTCTGGGATGTTTTTTTAAGTGAAAATAGGTCGACGTGTACATGGATACCGTGTATGTGCAATTCTTAAAAACGCGGCAAGCAGTTTGCGATTCTGCACTTTCTCCGAATTTCGCACCTAATCGTCATGATCAAGCATTTTTGTTTCCATAAAAGTTCTAGGATAAGCGTAATCGCTAGCAGATTGTTAGAAAAAATGTTGCGTTAAAAAGCCTTACTTCGGAAAAAAAATGGCGTCCAAAACAAACTAGCAGGTCCTGTAGCAGGTGGTAGCCAAATTTTCCCAAAAAATCGCCAATTACCATAATGTAGGGATCACCGTTAGAGTAGAAACAATAAAGCACAACAAACAGAAAGAGAGAAACAAAAACAAAAATTTACAGAATAGTGGAAATTATAGATATCTACAGAAGAAAGGAAGAACAAATTTCCCCTAAATAAAAATATGGAGAGATGAAGAAAACTTCAAATTCTGAGAATTTATCTTTGAATTTAATTCATTTTTACAGTGTTATTTTAGTGCAGCGAAAATGTAATAATCCAATATTACATACCATCATGACTACAAGAGCACAAAAATCGATTAGAGATAATCCAGAGGTTGGAATGTCTAGGGAGGAATTTAGATTAGGTTTGGTTTCTGCGATTACGACAAAGCCTCGAGTGCGATCTGCGTAGAGGACTTTCTAAGGGAACTGGCTCGTATTCACGTTACACAAGGGAAAAAGCCACGGAATTCCCATGCAGCTAGCCTGTTCTCGAGATTCGAACCTCGGACTGAACTACCAAAGACTTTCAGCTCGACTTTACCGCTCGGCTGCTGATGAGCCTGAGAAATTTAGGAATAGTAAAGCTACATACAATTTATTTTTTTAAAAATCTATGAGAAACAAAAAGGGAAAGAAGTTTGGCAAGCTTGAAAAAAGAACATTACATAATTTAGTTTTAAAAGTTCTTTTAGTAAGCTTCAGTAGTAAGCACCGAGAAAATCTAGTTTTACATTATTTATAAACTTCATCAGAAAATAAGAAATTATAATTCTGAAGACAAAGGAGGTAAAACAATGATGCCATGAAACACTATGTATTTACTGTGCTATTTTTATGAGTATGATGCAAAGCAATTGCTATACATAAATGATTAAAAAAACTTCATATTTAGAAAATGTAGAATTAAATGTGAAAATATCTTTTATTAATTTTATTTATAATTATCAGAAATAAATATTTTAGTAATAAATATTCCTGAATACGATTTCGTGAATCAGATTGATCTGTATGTAATAAATGTATATCATTATAAACTATTAAATAAGCATGAAATTATATTTACTCTCGTAATACTAATAACTAAGCTAATGTTTAAAGCACTGCTAAAAGAATGAATGACTCTTTAAAAAGGGTAAATTCGAATTTTATCACAGGAGTTGGAATTACTCAAATCTATAACATTAGAGTTTTGAATTCCCTAGAACGTCTTTCACAGACGCATTCTTTCTCAAAGGCAGGTAATCACCACGGACAATTATCACAGACGCATTCTTTCTCAAAGGCAGGTAATCACCACGGACAATTATCACAGACGCATTCTTTCTCAAAGGCAGGTAATCACCACGGACAATTATCACAGACGCATTCTTTCTCAAAGGCAGGTAATCACCACGGACAATTATCACAGACGCATTCTTTCTCAAAGGCAGGTAATCACCACGGACAATTATCACAGACGCATTCTTTCTCAAAGGCAGGTAATCACCACGGACAATTATCACAGACGCATTCTTTCTCAAGGCAGGCACACGGTTCTAGGACCATTCTTTCTCAAAGGCAGGTAAATCACCACGACATTATCACAGACTTCTTTCTCAAAGGCAGGTAATCACCACGGACAATTATCACAGACGCATTCTTTCTCAAAGGCAGGTAATCACCACGGACAATTATCACAGACGCATTCTTTCTCAAAGGCAGGTAAATCACCACGGACATTACTCACACGGACAATTATCACAGACGCATTCTAATCACCACGGACATCTTCTTTCTCAAAGGCAGTAATCACCACGGACAATTATCACAGACGCATTCTTTCTCAAAGGCAGGTAATCACCACGGACAATTATCACAGACGCATTCTTTCTCAAAGGCAGGTAATCACCACGGACAATTATTACTGCATTGCGAAGGAAAGTAAAAACTCTTACATTTAATACCAAAATCCATGATTTTACTGAATAGCAATGAAATTCTGGAACCGTGTCCTTACTAGACTAAAATTAAAACATTTGCTTAAACTACTGACCCCTGAAAAACGATTCGTGCCCCTTATAAAATAATTTACTGATTAAAGAATGTACTATAATGCAGTAACATAATTAATAGACGTACGTATTACACTCAGAAAAATGCGTGTATGAAAATATTACAATATCCAAGTTTCTTTTAAAGTCTTTGCAATGGATTCCATTTTTGCCGAATCATATATCTAATACGTTACGAAGATTGCATACGAACATTTTCTCATGAACCCTTACTTAGAATGTCAAAATAAATGCAAAATTAATATTTCATTTTAAATTTCTTCCGAATGAGCATTTTAAACTTTTTTATTTTCCAAATGAATTCAATAGTTATAATGGTATTTTAAATTTACGATAGAAATTTTTAAATCAGAGTACAATAGCTTAATATCTTTCGTACGTGAATGTTTCTCTTTGAATCAAACACTTGATAAGATTTCTAGAGGAATTCATCTTAACTTTCATAACATTTAAGAGTTTGCAATTAAATTTTTAAGATAAAAATTACGTCGAGTTTCAAGAATTTACATATAAATAGTAATAAGATATTTTAAATAAATATATTCCAAATTTGCAACTGATGATTACATTATATCCATGTATAATTCATTTATTATGAACATGTTATTTCGAAAATATGTAACGTTATTTAAATAGGATCTAAAAATATAATCTTTTTTAACTCCTAAATTTCATCAGTCGGAATTTACCTGAAATAGGAAAATGCCTTTAGGTTGAACAGAATATATAAATTATTTTGCAGGCAGTAAAGATATTTTTGAAACGAGAATATTATATTATCCAAAGGAATTTAAAAGCTTAGATCCATTCAAATACAAATTGTCCCTTATAGAGACACTAAAATATTTTAACTTCGAATTTTCTACTATAGCGGACATGAGAAATGTGATTATTGCAGAATATTTTTAATAAATATATGGTATAATTACTATTATTAATTATAACAAATTATATGACTTAACTGATTACTTTATTCATATGAAAATTTTCCGAAATTGTACAGTAAAGTGGACAATGTTTCTCTTTGAATCAAACACTTGATAAGATTTCTAGAGGAATTCATCTAGAAATTCATAAAAGTACAGAAATAAAAAACAGAATTTCATTTAATAGTATAAATAGTATAAGAAACCAGAACTTAATTTTTTAGCCAGAATTAATCTTAAAATCAGACAGGTTTCAAGCAAATTTTGTTTATTAGCAATATATTAGATATTTTACTACTTCATTCAAACTGAGCGTTTGCCGAATATTTACAAATAAATATAGTGCCATAAATCTACCATTCAAGTAATATAAAACTTAGACCTTTAGAATGAATTTTGTAGTTGGATTACAGATATCTGATAACAAAAGTTTGCTCACTTCTAGTATATTTACAGCAGAGATAATGGATTTGCTTTAACATGCATATCAAATACCTTCCTTAAACATTCCTAAGAATCTAACATTTTGCTTAGTTAGCAGTTCATTTTTTAGCTGGCGTGTTTCTAGAATCTTGCCAAAGAAGAGCAGCTGGTGGAGGAGGTTGAACAATGTACACTGCGTTTGCTGAATTTCCAGCTCCCATTCCAGGTTCGTTAGTATTGATAACAGCTCTGTAACCATCGGCATCGGCCGTGTATCGTACAGTTCTGTACACTCCAAGAGGGTCTAAATAACCGTAAGATCCTTTAACGGAGTTACCGTCTGAAGTCTCTTGGCGATGTTGATTTGTACCTACTTCATCAACAGATTGGTAACCAAACTCATAGGGCTTTAACAAATTAGGCGAAAATGGTGAGATAACGATCTGACGTTTCGCACGAGGTAGGGGAGCAGCATTGCATACAGCAAGCAAATACACCACAAAGCACGCAAGTGAAATTGTCTTCATTGTAAATATAGCACACAAAAGATCTAAAATACGGAGCACCTCAGCACGGAAGAGTTGAAGAATCTGAAGAGAAAGTGAGCTCTTATATAGAGTAATTATCGCTCTAGTAAGTCAAAGAGATACCTGGTATGTTGCGCCAAGAGATGAAACAAACCTTCCTTAACGCTTTGTTAAAGGAGCTTCTCCGTAAGAATTGTAAAGAAGCAGAAAAATGGGAGAAATGCTTTGGTCTTCAGATTCCATCCGGTTTGTCACGATTCGTGGACATGTGAAAAATTCGAATATGTTTTATTATTTTTTTCACCTATTTTTGTTGTTCTTGAGGAAGATAGTAAAATAGCTGTTTAAGTTCCTGTTCAGTGCAAATATTTCTTTGAATGTATAGGAGAAATGTGTTTGAACATAAACGACAAGTGACGGTGTACTTTAAAGAATATTGATTTGGATTGTATGGTGTTTAATGGGTTGAAATGAAGTTACTTGATGCTTAGTTAACAAAAATAGCTGTATTCGAGATACTACATAAAAAATTTCATAACTGGAGTATTTATTTTGAGTTTGAATCGTATTCTTCTTGAATTCTTCTCTGATATTCTTTCATAACATTAGCATAGTTTTGCAAAATGTAATTATTATTATTATTTATAAATTCGATAAACGCAACGAAAGGTATAGCTAGCATAAAAATAAGATTTTTGTTTCTTCAGTGAGTCTTCCTAGTTTTCTTAGAGATAGAAGAATGAAGTTTCGGTACAGAAAATAGATTTTTTGATTTAAGACATTCGATTCTGTTTGCGCTCGTGCTATTAAAATTATTTTATGTATCTTTTTTCCCCAAAAGGCTAAATATCTTTCAGCTAGTTTGTCTGGAATAGCCGAATCCATCAATAATTTAGCCGTCTTCTCACCGACAACGTTTCTCAGGGTTCACCACAACTGGTGACCAAAATGCACCTGCAAGAAAGGAGAATTTCCGTGATATTTTGAAGCAGAACATTTTGGGAATTCGCTTCGAAGGTCTCCTTCTCCAATAGGTACCACCAACCTCTTCAGAGGCTTTCCGACTTGACAATATTTTAAGTGCCCCATGCCATAAAGACATTAAACATAAACACACACTTCGGGGGGGTAGGGGGATAGTTCTATATTTTTATATCTCCCGTTCTACTGGGCTGATTGACGAAATTCAACTTGCGTTTTTCATGTCTCGAAAGCGTAACTTAGAATATGTATTAGATCTATAAATACTATTGTTCTAATATAGGTATTTCGACACAAAATCGGACTTATTCTGAAATGACATGCCAATTATTTTCTATATCCTGATTCTACGACTCAAATCATGCCAAACTGCCAAGTTTTGTAAAAATCGCACGAGTACGTTTTGAAAAATTAGCTCTCAAAATTTTAGCTGCTGGGTGTTAATTGAATTTGATGTACATTTGTTAATATCTCTTTTCTTTATTAAACTTACTTGATTCCTTCTTATGTAATTCAAAATTTATTTTTAATCCAAATATAATTCGCACAATTTTTATTATTTATTTTAAAAATTTGTATTTTTAAGCATTTTTTATAAATTTTTCGAAAACGTTTTTGTAAGCATAACCTAAAAATTTTTTTACATCATTTTAAAGTAGATGTATTTCTGATCATATATGCAAAAAATTAAAGTTTTTATTAACCATTTCCTAAGATATATGTGAATTTACATTTTGGCGCGTTTTGAAATTTGGCGTATTTAATATAAGCGATAATAACGAAAATGTGGTTTATGCACTTTGTTAAAAATTATTTGAATGAATGAACGATGGACCTTTTTTCCTCTCGAGCATCAATGAAAAAAAAAAAAAAAAAAAAGTAAGTAGGTTACTACAAATTAAGAATTCCGCCAAGAGCATTATTCTTGGTGAAAACTTAAAAAAAACATGCTAAGATTAATTTTTAAATTTCTCACGAAAATTTGCAAAATTTAATATCTCTAATAAAAATAATAGAATCGAAATATGGGAAAACAAATTCATATGTTTTTCAGAAAAAGTCCGATTTTGGATCAAATTGCCTATGTTAGAATAATGCTATATATAAATTTAATATATATACTAAGCCATCCTTTCGAGACGTGAAAAACGCAATTCGAATTTCGTCAATCGGCCCAGTAGAACGGGAGGAATAGAACTGTTTTACTTTTTTTTTGCGCAGTGTACCTTCTTCGAAACTTGAATCCGGGCCCAAGACTATAGTAGCGATTTTCGTACCAACACAACGGCTTTTTGATAAAATTCTGCCGGTAAAAATGCTTTTTATAAATTAATTTTCGTTTCGATTAAATGCAAATTTTTTGTTACATCATAAATGATATTGTAAATAATTTTTACACATTTAATAGTTAAAATATGGAATAATTTCTGTTCGCTTTCAGTATAAAAAATTTCTCTACAGAAAGATTACGTGTGCGTGAACTTAGCTTGATACTTTAATTCTATTTATGTGAATTCATATGGGGACGCTAAAATAAAGGCAAAAACACGCATTCTTTTAATAGCGCTCTCGTTTTGAAAGCAACAACTGTTAATAAAATGTTTTAAAATGTGTTATCCTATTTATTTCTATGGTGATCGAAGTGACTAAGAGATATATTTGTCTTGTTCAGAAAAATTTGACTGCTGTCGAAGTGAGCCCATGACGAAAGCGTGTTTTAGGATTATTTGGATTGCACACGAAAGTCATCTGTCTAAGGGAAAGAGAGCCTACATGAGGGACACTTTAAGGAAAGCTAGCTCGTATTTAAGTTGTACATGTAAAAAAACAAAAGCTCTCATGCAGCCAGCCCATTTGGCCGGATTTAAACTCTAGTCGAACTACCAGTGTTCATAGATGTTATTGCTCGGCCGCTGGTGAGTCCAGAAGTAGGTTTTCTCTTTAGAAGTGTGAACTGGCTTGGCATATATTGTCCTGTAACATATCTCCCAGCCCGTATAGTGGTTAGTGACGATGACTGCCGTACCGGCGGGCCCAAGTTTGAATTCCGGAGAAAGCATGAGTGTTTTTAAATGTACGGTGCGTTTGCAGCAAGGGGGTATTAAAAATGCACAGTGAGCTAAAAGTCCCCCCGAGAGGTTGATAGTAGGGAATTTAACTGATTACCGTGTTTCTCCACATTGAATAGGGCACTACACGTCTTGCTGCACTTACCTTTCATATTAGGAGGAAAGGCGGAAAGACAGGCCCAAAAAGTCACCAGTTTGTGAGGTTGTAGGAAAAAATGTCACCCGGAAAAAAGGAAAACGGAAAGAATGTCCCCGGAAAATAAGGAACGGAAAAAATGTCGCCCTTCGTTTGCAATGGGAAATATAAGGCATGTTTAAAAAGATCGCCAAGCTGGGTGATAAAAGTTTTATCTCAACAACCGTAACTTCAGATTACCGGAAACATGTGCGAGTAGAAAAGCAAGACAGATGTTGGCTGCTTATGGAGCCTACCATGTTTCTTCGTTAAGGTTAAAAATAGAGGGTTGTTAGAGGGAAGCTTTCGCGATGGAAGCCAGGGGGAAGGCGGGTTGTCCAGCGTCGGTCATTGTCAGGTCTTTAGTAATTACTCTCCTCGCACCGCATGTAGTTATAGCCTTAAGCTGCGGTTTAGTGAAACATTTATTGACGCACAACAGAAAACGAATTCATCCTGAGCTTTGGTATAAGAAAGTTGTAGATGCAATTTCAAGTTACGGTTTGCGATAAGAATAGGACTAAATTTTTTTACCTAATTAATTTTTGCATAATTTTTTTTTCTCATTTGATTTTAATTAAAAGTAACGCATCTGCACAGGAAACAATTGTTTAATTTTGCACTTAAGTTTGAAAACAAGAATACCACAGTTATTAAAATTAAGAGGTTTATTTCAAAATTATTAGTCCCTGAGGGACTAATGTTTTCATTTTGCGATTTTTGCGTCGAATCACTCTGAATGTCCGTTTCACTTTTCAAACTGTTGCCACCAAATATTGTGATAAAACAACGGTACCTAGAGCCATCGAGTTTCGAATGACGTAATCCTACTGCGAATATGGGCAACTGGAAGCCCAAATTTGAAATTTGGAATTCGTTTTATTATCGATTTTATATTTTGTAACGAATTTTTGATTAACAAACTCAAGAATTTCAAAGCGAGCCATGGCAATGTTGTACAGAAAAAACATTTTTATCTCCAGCGCGTGAGACTGTGAATCGGAAATTCTAAAAATGTGCTCAATTTAAAATTATTTTGCGATACTGCTCTTGAACTGAATTTTATGGTTTAAGTGCGAAGAATATGATATTTAATAAATAAAGGTAACACACAAAATGTTAAAAAAAGGCCCCTTTGGACGTAATTTAAAATCTGAAACCTTTCAGATTTTTTTATTTTACTAAAATTTTAAAATGTAATTAAAATGGATCCTATAACCACACGATCTGGATTTAAACATTCAATATGCAATGAACCCTCTTATGGCGACCTCTTCCAAAATAATTTCCCAGAGTAGAAATTAACACTTGTACCGAGCATTATCTCTTTAAGATGACCACTTCCACCAAAGACCAAAATAATTAGAAACGTGGATGATCGTATTAGAGAGGATTTAATGCATTTTACAATGCACCAATGCGTAACCTACTCAGAGCCGGACCATCTAGTAGCCCATAAACGATTGGCGACCATCTCCTTAAGACGATCACTTCCAAAAGTGACAGGCATTTCTATAGGTATAAACAAACACTTGCACTGAATATCATCTTTCTAGGGTGGTGATCTTCACAGAATACCAAAAATCAACTAGAAACATGGATGGATTAGGATTATTCAATTATGGCAAAGCGCACGAGGGCTATCTACCTAAAGGGAGGGATGCCTTCGTGGAGAACTTTCTAAGGGAAACTGGCTCGTATACATATTACACATGGGGAAAACCACGAAAGTGCCCATGCAGCCAGCCCGTTCGCGGGATTGGAATCTCGGACCGAAATACCAGTGTTCAGCGTCTTTACCGCTCGGCCGCTGATAGGCTGAAATCTGATGGATGGCTGATGGATATCTTAGAAAGGATTTTCA